AATACCTGAAAAACTCCTTTTTAAAGTAAAATTTAAAATAGGTCATGAACTAAATTCCTTTTTTTCTAGGTTGCAGTTTTCTAGTTTTCCCTGGAGTTCTATGCTTTCCTATCCCTGTGTTCAAGTGATCAGAAATATAACCCATTTGTTGTATCATGTTCTGAGAACGAAGTGACTTTGTGAACAGTAGATTATAAGCTAAAGAAATTCCTGAAGTAATGTTGGCGTTTTCACCATACAAGCCAATGGCATACAGCCAGGGATGTCATTTGAAAGTAGGAACTATATCTCATAGGACATTTCCATCCTGTGGATCCTTTTTCACTTCAAGCACATGTGACCAGACCACCAAGGAAAATTAAACTTTACAGAGAAAGCCAACAAAGGCAGGAATTACTCCTGGAAAAACCGGGTAGATAAAATTAGACAGAGACAGAAGATTAATGAATCAAGTCTTTATTATAAAATATACATGGAAATAGTTTCCGTTAATAAAAACATGAGAATAATTTTCATTAAATAAAAATAGAAAGTCAAAAATGTTTAACTGTGACTGTAGGAAAAATTTAGTTAAAGATATTACATTGGTTTAATTGAATTTGCTGTGGAAAATCATTTATGAGAGTTATTTATCTGATTAGATTATCATTGTCGATTAACTGAATTTCTAAATAGTAGTATTCAAAGTTCTGTGTCCTAGGTCTGCAGATTAATTTTGCTGGTACTTTTCCCAGATGGAAGCAAATTAATATCTCTTTAAGTGTTGAGTGGGGTTTCCTATTCAAGTCTATTATTTTCTTTTTGGTTGAAAATTGAAGTATAATTAAAAAGTGTAATATATTTGAGGGTTTCTAAAATAAAGAGAATTGATTGTAGTTTGTGAAAATTCAGATTGTTTTCTAACTGGTATTTATATTACCTATTCTGTAATTTAGCTTGACTACAACATCTGTTAAACTTTAATCATGTATTTGTATAGAGTTTTAAATTCTTAAATATCTTTCTTCCCAGTGGAGATGGCACTATGAGAAAAAACATTGATGTTTGGAAAAAGTGGACCACCTTAAATAGCTTGCAGCTACATGGGTAAGTAAAACTTTATAACTGATAATACTGCAACAAATAGATTACTAAAGATTTATTGTTAAATTATGTAACTGAGCATCCAGGTCTTTAATTATAGAACGACAAACATCAGAGTGATAGTTAATGACTGCCTTTATGAGCGTTTGCTTATATGTCAGAATTTGTTTTTTAAAACTTTCAAGAGTAGTAATTGCAAATTGTATGCATTTCAGATACACATTTATTAAAAATGCCTCCTATAAAAATTTCTGTTAACATTACAAACACGTGTTTTTCCATGGAATGACTATTTACTTTTTAATGTCTTACTAATCTTTTTCCTCCCCATTTTTTTGTTCTTTTGTGTTTTTTTTTTTTTGCATGACATTTTGATCTCTTAGAAATATTTTTTGGTTGCCATTTTTATGATAGGAGAAATGCTCATTAAAGAAAATTTGGAAAATTAAAAAAAATAAAAGTAAATCTCAATGCAGTCATAACTTTTTTTTTTTTTTTTTTTTTTACTGACCGGTAACGGGATTGCAACCCTCGGTATTGCGCCTGCACCGCGCTCAGCCAGTGAGCGGGAACCGGTCTCTACATGGGATCCGAACCCTTGGCGGGAGCGCCGCCGCGC